CTTTCCTTTTCTTGGGTCCGCTCATCTTCATAGAGGGGCGGTAGGTCACAGGGTAAAGTGCAAACGTGGAGTAATAGGCCTACGCCGCTTCACCTCAACAAAGCCAATATATCTAGAGTGCGCCATCTAGTGAGGAAACATCAGAATTGCAGGGGAAATAAAACATTAACAAGGTTAATTTATTAAAATTTTTTCAAGTTTGGCGGGCCGGATCAAAACGTTTAACGGGCCGCACGTGGCCCCCGGGCCGTAGTTTGCCCATGCCTGCCCTAGCCCCTTACCCCAACCCTAACCATGAAAAATGAATGCCAAACCATAACCCTAAACCTATAACCCAACTGTAACCCTGTCACTAAAACCACATTTTGAATCTCAAAAATGCCTTCAAACTTGCAAGGACCAGGATTTTGGTCCCCACAAAGTTAGGAATACGTGTGACTCCAGGCTCTTATTAACACACACACACACACACACACACACACACACACACACACACCTTCCCATTTCTCACCGAATCTCTGTTACCATCTGTGATTTTAATGCACGGCTATTTATCTCATAAAATCTAGTGTTCATCTTCTTCTGCTCTCCTCTCTTTCTCTCACACTGATCTTCAGTCTGCCTAAACTCCACACCTGCTGCAAAATGGCAAATGAATTTATGTCAGCCTGGCTGAAAATTAATGGAATGATATCTTTAATCCATCAAGCTGATGCATAACCAGAGGAATGCGCTCTCATTTTGGGAGGGCACTTGTCTTCATCAGTGGCTACTCACTTTAGCATCTACATTTGCCCCTTGGGCTGATTAATGCGCACACCCTAATAGCCACTTCAGACGATAAAATGGATGATTGGTGTTTCATACAACAGGACGCACAACTGCCCCTCGCTTCGCTCCCCTCTTTAAAGCTTGCCACAGAGTGCGGGGTAACTTAGAAAGCCTGCTTCGTGCAATACTGCTTGAAGAGTCACTTAATTAGGGTGTTATAGGTGGTCAGCTATAAACAGTCAGACGCTTCATTTTTCAAAATCTGCTGTTCCTGTTTTCCTCGCATGCTGAGAGATTTTCATGATAATAAACCACTGGTGAGGGGAAAAAACAGGAAAAACAAATTTGAAAGACTTAGTGCTACCCTGCAGTCACAACAGGTGAATCTCCTAAGTGTCAGGCCAATTCTGTAAATAAGCATTCGCTCTTAATCCTACCTGATTAAATAAGTTATGGGAGAAAAGTCCCTGAGCTGGTATTAAAGGATTTATTAGTGTAAGTTGTCTTCAAGTTGAGTTAGCCAAATGTCCTGAATTAAAACTTTCTTCTGCAACTGTGTCAGTAATCCTAAGAAACATCTGCAAGTTGATATTTAATTTTATATTATTTCATACTTTCATAACAATGCTTCATCTGTGGTGAATTTAACTCCATTATATTTATTTTAACCATTTAATTTTTACCTTTAATCGTGATCATATATTAAAATACAGCAGCAAGGAAACTGATCAAAAACTAAGTAATTATTCTGTTGTTGAGAATAGAATAGAATAGAATAGCCTTTTATTGTCATTGTACATGTATAACAAATTGTAACTTGTTTTCTACGATTTTAGCAACACAGTACCTAATGAAATCAAATGATTTAGAGAATCTGGAGAAATCTCTGTGTGCAAGAAACAAGGCCCGAAATCAGTATTGGATACCTGTAACCTTTAGGCCTGCAGGCTGCACTGCACTAACAACAGGCCTGATTTTGCCATGGAAATCACTGGATGGGCTCAGGACCGATTCAAGGAAACACTGTCTGTGAACACAGTTCGTTGTGCCATCCACAAATGCAGGTTAAAGCTCCATCAAACAGACAAAGACACAAAATGAGAACACAATCCAGAAATGTAGCCATCATGTATTCAATTCAATGTTATTTAGATAGTGCCAAAACACAATAACAGTTGCCTCAAGGTGCTTTATATTGTAAGGTAAAAACCCTACAATTACACAAAGGAAACAGAAAACGCCAACAATCATATGACCCCTTATGAAGAAGTGCTTTGGCGACAGTGGAAAGGAAGAACTCCCTTTTAACAGGAAGAAATCTCCAGTAGAACCTGGCTCAGGGAGCGGCGGCCGTCTGCCACGACCTGTGTGGTCAGACGACTCAACACAGGAAATTATCTTTGGAAAACATGGATGCCGCATCATCACTGAAGAGGAGAGGGCTTGCACATCCGGAAAGATGCCATCAGTGTTTAAAAGGTATACGCTAGTTTTAGAACAACATATGCTTCCACCCAGATGATGTCTTTTTCAGGGAAGGCCTTACATATTTCAGCAAGACAATGCTAAACCACATACTGCATTTGTTACAGCAGCATGGCTTCACAGTAGAAGAGTCCAGGTCCTGAACTGGCCGACCTGCAGTCCAGACCTCTCCAGCTAAAAACATCTGGCATTCATAATGAGCTAATATTTTTCTTAAAATGATACATTTTTCTCAATTTAAACATCTGACATGTTTTCTATGTTCTATCATGAATAAAATGCGGGTTTGAGAGATTTGCATATAATAGCATTCTGTTTTTTCTTTCCATTTTAAAGAGACTCCAAACTTTTTGTTTGTTTGCATTCAGCATGTCTAAGATCATGTAGGCATGTAAGCATATGCTACAAATGACTAGGTCAAAGTGGAAATACTACAACACGGGGTTACATGGATACTGTAACTTAAAAGGAAACTAAAGAAAAAAAACACCGCCTTAAAAACCCCCAGTATTTCACTGGTCCATACTGACCCACGCCAGGTCAATTTAAGCCAGGCGACGAAGACAGAAGTTATTTTCTTTCTCCCCAAAGTCATTCCCCGAAGCCACGTTCACTTTAACAGAAACCAAAAACCCACCCAGCCCGACTCCCAGCTTCATATCAGGCTTTCCCTCATGCAAATGCTTGAGGCTAACAAACCGCAAGGCAGGAGAACAACACGGCTACCTTCAGGCAGTGAATGTCTGGCGTTTCATTTCCCAGCAGATTGCTGCTGTATTTACAATTTCCCTCCTTCAACATACCCGTATGGCAGTGGATGCGATTTGGAGGTGGTGTAGCCTCCGCAGGGTGCTCTCTCTGTCTGTGAAGTAGGAAGCAGCCAGCTGGTGGAGAGTTTCCAGGGTCACGGTCCCTGTAGTATTTGAGTTCCTGTTGCTGCCCCGGCTGCCCTCGCCCCCTGAGGGCGAAGACTCCTGGCTGAGCTTCCTTTTGTCCACAAATATTGTCAAAGACTCCTCCCCTGGTAACATTTAGGCAGAGGGATGAGAGGTTCATTAGCTCCAGCAGAACGCCACTAATCACCTTTCATTAGTATCTTTTCAGACTAGATAGAAAAGCACAGTAGTCATTAAGTACTGTGGGGGAACTGATGGTTTGGATGATTAGAGGAAAAGGCACAGACAAGGTCTCTGCATCTATTAAACTCCTGGTGAATAAAGAGAGCTCACTCACCATCGTTAATCAAATTTCCTTAATTATTTCAATTATTTTAATTACGACGGAAAAAAATGACTTGGAAAACAAAATCAGGTCAGCGCCGGGCTGTTCTTAAAGATGAATTCTATATAACGGTCAAATCACCAGCAGTGAGAAGAAAAAAAAAGACACGTTTGATTAAGTATAAGATTCATAGATTCACGTGCACTTTGGAAAGTCAGCCCTGATAATGAAAACTGCAGTCTTTTTGTGATGCCGTTAAACTTCCTACCCTAGTAGTTAATTTCTTTCTGCAACTCACCTCATCTTCCTCCTGTTATATTTTCCCAGGTCTTTCTCTCCTATACTATCTGAACAACGTTCACCAGAGAACAGATTTGAAAATAGCTGCATTCACTACTGAGTCAAGAGGACATTAATAAATTCTTTTACTTTCCCTCAAAAGCGTCTCAGATTTGAGCCAGATGAGGAATGAGTGCCTTTTGAAGGGAGCTGCAGGTGCTCTTCAGCGAACCTTAACAACATGCCGTAACTGTCACAGCAGGTCTGAGTCACTTTATCTGTACTTACTTTATTGGCACTGTTCTCCAACTGTTTCCTCACCACTAGCGCTCGAAAAGCATCACTCCGTGCGGCCTGACCTTTGTAAATTTGAAAGCTGCTGTGATAATTCGTATTTAAACTTGCAGGGAAATAAAGCTCTTCGAATTAAATTTAATTAAACTGTCAGCGCAGCTGAACCTCTGTAAGGAGAGTACACTGTCAGTGTATATGAATATGCCCACCTCCAGTCAAACAAGGATCAATACAAATTTTCCTTATAATAAGCCAGACTGTTAGTCTTTCTTATTTCCCTACAGATGGGATTATATGTGCCTCAGAAGAGCCACACCAGTTTAACCTGCCCTCACCTCCCCCATATAAAATATTCAATCATTCATCTGATTCTGTTTCTGCTCATGTCTGGTTTCCAACCAGGCAGCTGTCCTCACATATGAAGATATTAAAAAGATGTTAAAAGATGTGGCTAAAAAGCCCTGTGAAAATGTGGCATCTTATCTCATCTTATGCTCTTAAAAATCATCTAGAAAGATGATGAGCATTTTTCTTTTTCCAAAATGACACAAAACTGTTGCGTTGTTAAATCACATGTTTACGTTTTCTGATCTGACCCTGCTTTGGTGAAGGCTAATAATCGTTTTCACCCAGTTTGGTCTGCTGACATCGTCTTAACTCTGAACACTGCTATAGCCGAGTATTACAGCAACAGTTATATGAAACGAGTCACACTGATCAAGCATCCCTTGTGGCAGGTGGTTATCAAAACTCTTACATGTGATGATTGCAAAAATAACAAGCAAACAGTCTTATGCTTTGAAGATCCACATTTTGTTGATGCATCTATCCGCTCTGACCTCTGAGACAATGCATCCTGCAGACCACAGTGCTGCCAAAAAAAAAAATCTAATAACACAGTTCACCTGAACTTGAACTCATTCAGTTTTTGAGCGATGTAGCTGATGTTTGTAGGTGGTAAAGGTGACTCTGGGTGAAACTGATGTCTGGTACATGAAGTGTTGATAGTGTTTATTTTATCAGGAAGCTTCTATATTGCCTTTTAGGAGGACCATTTGCTCAGTATAAACTGGGTTTCAGTCTATCTGACAAGAACTTCTCAAAGCACTGGGAATTGTGACTTGTGTGACGTTGTTATACATCAACAACACTTTGCGACTATTGCATCTTTGTGGGTGGGTTTCATGACGAATTTCTAATAATTTTGTAGACACTAACAGACAGAGTGCATGGCCAGTGTTGGTTTTCGACCAGTTGCTGTATTTTGGGGCGTAAGAGAAAACTGCCAGCTACTGTTTTTTAGCCAAATACTTCCCTCAAATCAGTGCCGTTCATTTACAGCATGCTCTGTGATAGCAGTTAGCTTAAGAAAAGAAGAGAAAAACTAATTGCTTATAAATCACAGCATTTCACAGCAGTGACAAACCTCTGTTCACGGAACCGTGCCGGTTTGGCAGCTAAACAAAAATATCATATCTGTCGTTCTCCCGCCTACCACAAATCACTTGTTGTACGCTAATCTGGGGCGATTTGATTCCTTTTTGTACGCCAAAAAACACTGATCCAGAAAAATCATTACATGCTTTGTTGATTCAAAAGCAGCAGACAGTAAAAAATCAGTGCCCCATATGCTAGAAAAAAAATGAACAAAAATCACATTAGAGGCTATGTGGATCAGGCTCGCATTGAAGCTCAGACTACTCTACTGTACCTCCCAGAGTGGCGGAGAGGAGAAAGTGGGTGCCGTATTTCTTGATTAGACTCTCTGTAATCATCTGAAGGGTTGGTCTCCTCCCCAACTGCCGGATGGCGTGCACAAAGTCAGGGTCGAGGGGCAAAGCCAAACCCCTGCCGCCACCAAAATTCTCCAGCTTCTCCACAGCCAGGCTGTTCACCTTCCATCGACCAAATTCCCTAGAAACACCACACACACACACACACACGCACACGCACACACACACACAACAGGTTTGCTCACTCTGTTAAGGTCTTTAATTGTGTGTAAGGCCCCGGGCTGCTATTTAACAAGCTGCGTTGAGAGGAAAGCAATATTTGAAAGTGTGTTACCCTCACTGAGGCACACGCTGCTGTATACTTATGGCTCACATACATGGTGGACACAGAGGAAGCAGTAACGCCAAGCGATGAAGCTGTAATGCTCAGCGGAGCTTAACAATATGCCTCTGATGTACAAGAAACTACCCTGAAAAACCTTTTTTCTATTTTTTTTACTTAAGGGATTATACGGCAAGTAGTGATTGAATGTTTATCGATTGTCAGATTTTTACCTGGCAATTGTTAAAAAGGATGTTATATAAGACAGCTGTTTCTTTCTTCTTTCTTTTGGCCTTAAATGCTCTCATTTGAAACTCATGTAACAGTACTTATTATATAAGAGTGGATACATTATATAGATTGTAGCAGTATTACAACAATCGGTTCTGCTACTAGCACTGGGTTTAGCAGCTATGATTTAACCATTCAATCAGCACTCTAATAGAGCACCGCTCTATTAGAGCTCTGCCAACTTGCTAACTAGTTTTAATGCACTTTTAATCCAAGCAAGAAGGTTTATTTATTTATTTATTTTTTATGGCAACCCGAGGCCTTAGGCTGTGGACAGCAGACTGTTAGCGGATTTAAAAAACAAGACATAGTGTGCACATTTGTCTTAATCTTTGGACATAAGTTGCTGGCGGTACAGCAAATATATTTGGAGTGCAAATATATCACTGATCTCAACAGATTAGCAGCACTCATTCTCAGAACCATGATAAAGTGAAAAATAATAGACCAGGCTGACAAAAAAATTAAAATATGAATAGATAGCTTTTCAACCTGCCTATTTGTTAAATCTTAAAAGCTTGGAGATCACTCTGGTTCAAAAGTAATAGTAATGCAGCACAGATTTATCCTCATGTTCCTCCGAAAATCAAACGTGTGGATACCCTCCCCCTCCCCCGTGTATAAGTGCACCAAGTTGAGAATCACTGTTATGGTTGACCGATGTCAGCTTTGAGTAACCTGCGCCTGGGTACAACAAAACTCATTGGGTTCCAAAGTGGCAACCCCCACAGCATCAGGAAAGGTGCAAAAAAAAGAGAAAAAAATAAAGAAAATAAAGCCCCATGACATCAGCTGCCATGATTTGTCACCCCGTGCCCTTTAGACACGAGCCCCGCTGAACTCTAGATACTCACAAACCCTCGCTCTCCATTCCCCACAGCCCCTCCCTCTGCAGCGTCAGTTAACATCCACCTCTCCCACGGTGCTTGCCTGCTGCTCTGTGTACCTCCCTCTCCTTCTGGGAGGTCATCAAATCACTGCCATGAGAAAAATGATCGGCAAAGAAATAATTGGGGGAACCGGGACTGTGTGGAGTGTGTCATTACGGCCAATCATCGTAACGAGGGGACAGGATGAGTGTCTGTCTCTGGTGGACAGATGGATATTGCAGATCTAGCCCAGGGTTAGCCTACAGCTACTCCATCAGCATGCACTGGTGGAAAAACAGAAGCGCTGTAGGAATGGGCTGGCTTATGTAAACGTGGAGGCTTACTGTACGCATAGAAAGCAATCAGAAAGTGATGAAAACACTTTATTGGGGGGGGGGGTTGAAACTATACAGGAGCAGCTGTATGGGGGGAGCTAGCTGACAGCGTAATCGCATGCTTTGCTTCCACATGACTGACAGCCACGTGAGCTTTAGTATGGTGTGCAGCTATTACAGAGGTCAGAGCAGAACTGCAATTTAAATCCCCCGGCACTTTAACACAGCACACCTATAGAAAATATGAAGTGTCTACAGCATTGTAGGGAGTGCATAAAATACAGTTATTATAAAAAAATGCCTTCAGTGTTCCCACAGTTTATTAAATGCCCTCCCTTATCTCTAAACCATTAAATAAGTCACATTAGGCAGAGAGGATGAAAACTGCTTTAAAAAGACTCTCCTGTCAGTTATCATCTTGTTACAGCAGGTTTTTATCTCAGTTAGAGTCATCCTTAAAATCCTTAATCCCTAATCCTAAAACCAGCCTTTGGCTTAAAATATGTGAGCAAGGCATCTGAGAGGATACAGGGCTGACTGCTGTAGGGTGAAAGACCCTTAAGAGGTGAGATGTCAGCCAGCCATTACCAGTGATGAGTGCCTTTCCAGTCCAAGCTGTCTGCTTCTTTGATACTTTTTTAATGATTTCCAGTAATTACTGGAAACAAGGAGGCTCAAGTCAGAGGACTCTTGGGACATTGTCACACCGGGTCCATTGAAAAAACACAGGTGTCACGATGAGATAAACACCAGAGTCTTAAAGATTTCTGGGAAAAGATAATGGAGCGATTGATTTATAGCACAGCTAAAGATGCACACAAAGTCTTTCCTTCACTTTGCTAAACCCTTGGCGATTTTCTTCTTCTTTTTGCCACAGAAATGAAAATTTCTTCTCAAACCGACCCCGCAGGACTGCAGGGACAGTGACAAAATATCAACACACACGGGTCCCCCACACGAATTATAAACACAAAATATAATTCAGACCTTTTTACTGCACGTCTGCAACTCAAACCCCCGAGCCATGAAGGGAATGATCGATAAATACCTAAAAGTTAAATCAGAGCAGAAATATATTGCTTTAGGAAAAGTTTCTGGAAAGGCAGCAAAGTGCAGCTGGCAGATACTGCAGGAAGTCCCTGAAGGGATGAAGCTCGACTGTCCACGCACAATCCATGGCATTAACTCTTGCTGCAGGTGTCATTTAGAAACACCAGCAACAGCAAAAAGCACCAGGTTAAAAAGAAGAAGATAATAAAGAAACAAAGCAAAAGAAAGGAATAAATGCCTGCTGTTATTCAGATGACAGATAAGCTTTCAGCAGGAAAGGGCCCTCTGCATGCTTACAGCAGTTCTTCTGATTTGCTCATCAGCTTGCAACTAATTTGGTGCAGGTGCGGTACCTGTGAGAGCAATCCTGAGAGTGTGCAGGATTGCATTCCACACACACTACAGCAGCTGCTGTCACTGATAAGTTGCTCTCTTGCTGAAATTGCTCATCAGTAAAATTATCCAGTAACACGTCTGGAATGAAAAAAAAAATGGCAAGTAGCCTACTTATAATCCATACCTGAAACTGTCTCACACACAAAACATTACACGCGTTAAACACACACACTTCTCACCTATAGATCTTGTATCTGGTGCTGAAGCCCTGCTGGTACCTCTCCGCAGCCTCTGTGTACTCCAGGGACTGCTGGAAGGGGCCCTTATCCGACAGCAGCCAGCCCAGGGAGCCGGGGGAGCCGTCGCCTCGTCCGGCGGCTGCGGCTCCAGTGGCGGTGGCGGCCCTGGAGGTCCAGCAACAGCACCAGCAGAGCCAGAGGCTGAGAGCTGCCCCCTCCCATAGCAGAGACAGCCGCTTATGACTGATTCTCTGACAGCTCATGCTTCACCCAGCGACACCTCATTCTCTCCAGACTGAGAGGAGAGGACAGATAATCAGGGCTGAAAAGTAGCGCGTCACGCTGATCTGGAGGTTTGTCGGAAAAATTATTTCAAAGCAGTGATACCTCAGAGTTAATGAACAAGAAATAATAGCAATTAAACGTTTTTCCTTCTCCTCCTCCTTCTGCCGAAGACACACTCACCTGATTTGCAATAAGAACCAAAAGGATGCGCCCGAAGATGAACTCCTGCGATCTCGCCACAGCCAAGAATAAAAGCTCTCCGAATCAGCGATCCGACACAATGAATGAATTCGTAATGTGTCCTCTCTTCACAGAGAGCTACTCCAACTTGGGTATTTTTCTGCTCCCGCCCAACTTTTTCTCTCTCTTTTCTTTTCTTTTTTTTAATTTTATTTCGGAAGACGTTGCTCCAGCATCCGCGCATCCATCCACTCCTCGGTGAGAAGTTGAAGCGGCGGAGGCGGTGAGACGGCGGAGTTCATTGCGAGGACGTCCGTGCGGTCACAGATAGTTCCAGAGGTTGAACAGGGGGGGCAGATTTAAACAGAGTGAGTGGGACACCCTGTAGCTCTGTTTGATCGCTAAATTGTCTGTTTAAAAAGATTTAAAAGAAAAAAACAAATCTTGACAGACGCTGTAGGCGCTTATATCTCCTCTTTGCTGTGTGTGAGCTGGTGGATGAATGAGTGCCTGCTTCAACAAAGAGACCTTTTCTTCCCTATTTTTTTTCCAAGAGAGATAGCAAGAGGGCGAGCAAGTGCATCATGATGAGGCTGGCAGGGTAATATATACAGTATGATCACTGAGTGTACTTAAGTTTGGAGATGAGTGGAGTGATGATGCATCAGGACTGCATCCATCACTCACCATTATCTTCACTTTATTCATTATTATTTCCCATCACAGCTTGTCTCTCCCTGGGTGAATATTGCCCATTAAAGGTCTTTAACGGAGTCTGATAATAGGCTAATTATCTCGCGGTGTTTCTTTTGTCCCCCCCCCCTCTCCCCTTACTAGTTCTGTGCCACAGCTTCAGGGCCTGCAGCTTGCATGACTAAATGGCACACACACTTGCACGTTGCTGGATTTGCCGGGGAGAATAATTACAGGCTATTATCGGGGAGCAGGTTTCTTGGGTTGTGTGATTCAGGTTCAGGGGTGCACTCGCTATTCCACACCAAGCATCATAATTTGGAAAAAAAAAAAAATACAGCTTCTCCAACAAAAATGGATGTTTCATTTCCAGAAGAAGGAGAGGAAATGTTCGACCTGTGGCTTGCAAAATAATTGTATTTTGAATGTTCAAACCATTTGCGAATGAACGTGAGATTTTTTTTAATGATGGTTTTTCTTTTATGGGACATATGGAGCTTTGGATCCTCCCCCTTTTTCGGGGGATCCGGTCACCTTTAGGGTGGGGCAAACACTGTGAGTGTGTAGCACAAAGTGGTGCTCATCTACAGTGCTGAGAAGTAGTCTGACATTTTCATTTCTACCTTAAAAATAAAAATGCAAAAAAGCGTGCATGTTTCTGAATTGCTATTTACTATGTACAGACCAGATATATATTATATTTCCAACTTCCTTTGCTAAGCAAATACAATAAAGATAAAATGAAGCTTAAGTTTGCTCTAATGGTCTCCTGTGTTATCATGTGATAGTCTTTATATACTGCCTCATTCTTTTTGATTTCTCTGTTATTTCTTCTGCTCTTCTTTCTGGTTTCCACTTTTGGCTTTCAGTTTGGATGCATTCATAGAATAGCATGACTTTTTTTTATAGCCACATATAACAGTTTTAGCAATTTCTATCCAGTTCTAACACATATACAGTTTCACCTCACGCCATATTTCCCCCCTGTGCAAAATGAAAAATACAAAAACTCAATTTCTCAGACTCATACTGCCGCTTCATTTTCTTTGTAGTAGTTTCCATCAAATTCACCAAAATCTGCAAAGCTTGCAACTTTCTGTGACTTGTACCTTTCCCTCATGAGTATGCTGTTAGACAGGGTAACCTTCTTCTGACTACAATAAAAAACCTTCCCTTCATATACATTGGGTAAAAGCCAGACTTTAGAAAAGTGCATGTCAGTCGATCCAGAATGCTGCAGCAGAAATACTGACAGGGACTAGAAAGAGACTGGGTTCCCTTCATTGGCTCCTGTTAGCTTCAGAATTGGGATTAAAATCCTTCTCACAAAGTCTTGACTAATAGCTTTCATCCCATCTTAACCATGTAGCACCATATAACGCCAACAGAGCACTTTTCTCTCATACTGCTGGTTTACTGGTGGTTCCAGCGATATTTAAAAGTAGAATGGGAGATAGTTTTCGGTTTTCAGGCCTCTCTTCTGTGGAACCAGCTCCCAGTTTGGATTTGGGACAGACACCCTCTCTACTTTTAAGATTAGGCTTAAAACTTCCCTTTTTTGATTAAGCTTATAGTTAGGGCTGAATCAGTTGACTCTAAACTCTTCCTTAGTTATGCTGTAATAGACTCAGGCTGCTGAGGGCTTCCCATGATGCGTGTTTCTTCTTCTCTTCTCTCTTGTCACTCTATATGTGTTTAACCATCCCTTTGAGTCATTAGTTATTATTAATTTCTGCCTCTTTTCCACAGAGCGACCCAACTGGTTGGAGCAGATGGCCGCCCCGCCATGACTGTCTCCAAGCGCTTGCTCATAGGGGGTCGTCTGATTGTTGGGGTTTTGTAGGGTCGTTACCTTACAATATGAAGGGCTTTGAGGTGACTGCTGTTGTCATTTGGCTCTGTATGAATAAAACTAAATTGAATTTGATTGGTTCGAATCAAATTAAGTCGTCCAGAATCAGTGAAAATGTGGGACAGTGTCTCAAGGACAGGAGGATGGTCCCACATAAAGGGAGACATCTGGTAGCCCTTCTAGTCACGCTTGCAGCATCATCACAACTACCTCCCGCACAAGATTTTCACAAAGCCTAATGAACTGAGAGGAGCCGCTGCTGTAAACCAATTATTAAATCAAATTAAGAGGAAAAAGCGGGATATCAGTTCTTTCTGTTTGAGTATTGGTGTCGACAGGTGCAGGAAATTATCTCTAATTAGACTCTCATGTCTCCTCTTCAGGGCCACAACAATAAAAAAGCAGATAAATTCCAGAGCGAGCCTACATCACGCTCCCCACTAGATACCTTTGTCTCATCTTGTCACCCTGTTTGTCATCCTCACTAAAAAAAAAGCCTGAATGACATCTGTTAAATGGGCTGCAAGGAGAGTCTGTTAACAATGATGGGGTTAAATCAATAGTCTGCTTCAATTGATTTCCCTTTTTCTTTAATGTTGTTAGGCAAGCACTCCTAGGATGTCAGGGGATGCTCTTTTTTCTTTTTTTCCCTCCCTTTTTCAAACTCAAAGGAAGACAGTTTTTCAATTCAGTAACAAGGGGTTATATCTTTAAAGCCTAAATGGTTTTACTCACTGTAAGTGCCGCTGACAGTCATCTGGACCGTCTCAATCAACTGAAATGCTTTGAAATTTAAAGCAGCAGATAGTTTTCTTGTAATCTGCCAACAGGGGGATTTGCCTCCCCAGGTAGTCGACTGTTGCTTTCAGGACATCTGTAATGATAGTGAAGACGGTGTTTGATGGTGCAACAAAAGAAATACATTAAATATTCCAACAAGGAATTTGTGTGGAGAGGGAATATGAGAATTGAAAAAGACTAAATGAGCTTTTCCCCTCAGGGCTACAGACTGTTATAGTCTGTTGAAATCTGGGTCTTTGTTGTCTGTGTGTGGTGTAATTGAAAAGTTCCAGCCCCTGTTTCTTCCTCTGTCTTTCACATTCTTATTCTTTCCCCTCTCTATGCCCACTTCCCTTCCACCACCCCAAACCAGCGGTCTTTCTTTTTCTCTTCCAGCGTCTTCGCTTTTCGCCTCTCCATTTGAACTGTCTGTCATGATTCGTTTGACTCATTTTCTCTCTCCCCCCCCCCCTCGGCCGCCTGCTGAGTTTTAGGACAAATGTGGATAATTTTGATCATTCGCGCCTCAACCATCCGCTGAATCAGGCTCCTCCAGCGGATGATAAGAGGGCGGAGAACATCACAATTGTCCAGGAAGATGATGTGAAAGGCCTTGACATGGCAGTGGTGGTGTTAATAGGCAGTGCCTGAAAACAACCGCTTCTATAGCCGGCTGACATCTGATGTGCCAAAGTAAGTACAAGTCAAGAATGACATTGTGATTTCCTCCCACATTGGGAAGTGAGGGAAAAGAGTTCCAATGCAGCAGATGAAGGCGTTGGCATAAAGCATGTGTGTGTCTGTGTGCATGCAAAATCATCTCTGTTGAAATAACATAAAAAATGATTAATTTTACTCAAGAGCTCCGGCGTTCAGCAATGAGTTGTGCACACTTGTCTGTCTTTGAACAGATAACACGCCGTAGACTCCCGCCTGACTAGAAAAGTGTTTTACTGAATAATTACTTTTGCTGCACCTTTTATTCCGAAAGAATGAATTGTAGTTGATGAGCACGGTGTAAAGCATGGATACACCTGGTGCTGTGCGCTCATTGTTCTTTGAAATTCTCTCCAAAATGGAATGGCAAAGTAACTTGGCAGGTGCTGAATGTGAAAGTGCAAACAAAATGGAATGGATGATGATGAGGTCTCGCCTTTGCTATTTAACTCTGGAGCGAAGACAGCGATTGGACCGAAACCTCTCTAGTGTGAGTAATTGGACAGGCATTACAGGAAAGATGTTTGGAAACGAAACAGCAAATGCCCCCACGCTTTCGTGGGAGGGCGCAGAGTCTGAGGCACATTAGCAATTGTTTCAGCACATTAACGCCGAGATTTATTAATATAAATGAATTCAGCTTTGATTAGCTTGCCTGTTGCCATCGTTTGATTTTTTTAAGCATTTTTGTCAGTTGCCATTTCCCTTACTGGAAGCTGAAGCGGCGGGCTAAACAAGAAGTGGTAAGTGCAGATAGATGTGGAAGAAAATTGGTCCTATCCCAGGTTTGGTTGAGCGCTTGGCAGCTCTCTTGGTTATTCAGGTCAGGAAACATACATGTCCGAGGCTTTGTCAAAGCCTTGGCTTCTGTGGCCCAGCTGCTATTTTTGCTTCTTCCCTGTACATGCCCTATCATTCTTGAGTCGCACTGGAGCATTGGATGGCTGACCTAGAATACTGAAAGCCTGTCACACAACAGGACACGAGCAGCTGTGTAGAGAAAAGTAACTAAACAGTAACACCACTCAGGAAGTAAAAGTCCTTCACCATCCATTAAATGGCATCATGATAGCAGCACTAATGAATGCACTTGATGATGATTGGTGCCTTTGAACATTGCACATATATGCAAAAATGCACTTCATAGCCTTGCTGGGTAATTATTGAGTGCTCCAATTTAATCTATTGCTTATGAGGATTCTAATAAAGTGGTGGCACTTTTCATAAACCCTTTTCAGTATATGTTTTTCTGGTTTAAACACACACACACACACACACACACACACACACACACACACACACACACACACACACACACACACACA